TTCAACTATTCAAAATTCAAGATTTTCCTCTACGATCTTACTTCTCCTTCACGTTTTATGGTTAACAGTTGACCTTCTATATTCCCTTTACTTTTCGTAGGTTGAGTTTTCAGTTCATGCTGTCGAAATTTACACGTTTTTTTTACCCCCCCTACCTTCCCCCTACCCCCCCCCCCCCTCTTTATCTTTGGAGGGATCACTAATTTAAGTCAAATTAATCGACTATGGCTCTAATTTCTGAAATAGGGCTAATTCATTTGTATTTCAATTTTTCCAACAGCTAATCCTTTGAGCTAATTTCACTTACAACCCTCAATGTTTCTTAATAACTGTAAATCTTCCCTTATAGAAATCGCGCGAAGTTCCTTTATTGGAAGAATTTGAGCTTACCATGGGTCCTTTGGCCTTTCCAATTTCTTTGTAAAAATAGGAAGAATAGAAGTACTTTGTACAACAACAACAACATACCCCAGTAAAATCCCACTAGTAATAGAAGTACTTTGTATGCCTTGACAATTGCATAATCTCTTCTTTTCCAACATAGAAGGTGGAATTTCTTGCTAGTTTGTTGTAAATGTTTGGGACAGACCTCCAATTTGTGAACCAGGCTTATCTTATCTGAATTTTGCTGACCAAGTCACTGAACTTATTGTAGGACATTTTTCAATTTTATTCATGTGAACTTTCCTTTTAAAATTTGATAATCTGCATTTTTTAGATTTTCGAATCAACTGGAAAACTAATGTAATGGTTGTAGGCATATACAAGTTTTTCTGGAGTGTAACTCTTGTAGAAATCATAGCATTAATTAGAGAACAGTATTAGCCTCAGCTCTGTTCCAAAAAAAGAGAAGGAAATTATTGTGAATAGCAAGGGAGATAGTGGAATTCCTTAGTATTGTTGGGTCGTGTTTGAAGTTATGATAAACTTGAGAGGAAGACAGGAAGTTATGCTGCCTCGCCAAACTTCTCCCCCCTCCAAGGAAAAGAAAACCCAAAGGGTAGAGAGGAAAGAAGGACTTTTATGTGAGAATTTCAGAAGCGGGATTTGTCATGCCTCAAAACCTTTTCCTTTTGGATGTGAAAGGACTGTGGGAAATGGGAAACTTCTTGTTTAAGTTTACAAGCAAAGTTTGCCTTGCTAAAAATCTTTCTTGGCCAGTAGATGTGCTCACCTATTTTCATTTTCAGCCACTTTATATCCACCCTTATATCCACCTGGTAGGTTTACCTTATTGAAGACTGCACTAAGCCTATATTTTATCCATCTTTTGCTGCTCGTTTTCATCATTTGTGCACATATTCTGCAATGACGTGTTTAGCTACATATATTGTACACTCTATGCATTCAAGTCAACTGAGTTTTGAGTTCTTCCAATCTGAGACTCATGCTAAATTGGTAAATTCGTATATTGTGGGATTCATGTCCAGTATTCATGTGCTTTTTAGGTATCTGGGCAATTCGTTGGTGTGAAAGAATCCAAGAGAAGATTTTGAGCAGTTGTTTCCGTTGTTTGGAAAGGAAACTGATTCCTTTCATACTCAAACTCTGTACATTTATTCGTAGTCTGCCCTTTGAGTACTGGAGGAAACAGACAAATGTTTTCCCGACTAATGCATTGGAAGAAAGGCACGGGACCAGTTTGTCTGTTAATGATGAAGCAGTTCTAAAAGTAAGGGAGGCCCATCCATGCATGCAGCGTCTTAATAGATTGGAAAATTTATTGGAAGAAATAAACAAAAAGCCCGCTGAGATCCCAGCAGAGAAGGACCAAATGCTTCTGCAATCAATGGACAGGATCAAGTCTGTTGAGGTTGACCTAGATAAAACAAAAAGGGTAAGGTTCATCAGTGAGATGTGTAGAACTTTGAGCCTGGAGTGTCCTCTTATTATGTTTCACTGTCAACAGGTATTGCATGCTACAGTGTTGAAGCAACTTGAAATTGCAGAGTTATTGGAGAACCTAAAAGAGTCGAGATTTCATGTAAGCATCACTTAACATATTAAGCATCTCGTTTGTCATTATTATTTGGTCAGATAGACAGCCAATCAGTATATATATACTTGCTTAGGTGATGTATTATCCTGTCATGTGATAATGTTTGCATCTATCTGCTATTTTGTTTTATTTTTCTTCCCATGTTTTGTGAAAGGACCGGGGAGTGGGGGTGGGAGACTGTTGCCTTGTGATTCGATTGAAAAGCTAAAATGAAGGCAATTCACGCTGTCTGCTTCTTACTGTTAAGGTTGTTCATTTTCATGCTTTAATGTCCTTACTGCGAAGGCCTGGGAAGTAGATGGGCAGTTAGACTTCCAAGAGTGTCTTCTGCTGGTGGCATTGCCATCATGGTGGAATGGGACAAGAGGAAAAAGGCGGGTGAGAGGAGGGTGTTAAAGGTCTGATAAAAGGGCATTTTATGGAGTTCATCTGATAATCTCTATTGATCCACCACTGAGATTGTGATAAAAATGATGAGTTTATACAAGCCGAAGAGCATATAATCTTATGTGTGAGAGACTCTTGATCTCTTGCTACTTGCTAGATATGAATTATTACTCTTGAATCTTTTATTTTGTACAATCATATATCTTTCTGAAGAGACATCAACATGACTTATTTTCAATGTCTTAACAAAACGTGTGAACTGTATCAAATATGACTATGGTATCCATATTTCTGCATTAAAAAAAGGGGCAGCCCGGTGCACAAGGCATCCCACGTACACACAGGATCCGGGAAAGGGCCGCACCCTAAGGGGTGTGATGTTGACATCCTACCCTAATGCTGCTTCCACAATTCGAACCTGTGATCTATAGGTCACATGGAGGTAATTTTATCGTTGCTCCGAGGCTCCCCTTCCATATTTCTGCATAATTAGCTTATTTTCTGTGCTCTTGTAACTAGTGCTGTCTTGCTTTCTTTCCGAAAGTATAAGGTTTCAATTAGTTCTTCATGTACCAAGTTTGAGATCTGGGGTGTTTTGTTGCAGAGGCGGAGGTTTTTGTGTTGAATATTGGAAGGTTGGAGGTTCAGAGTAATTAACAATGCGACGAGAGTTTTTAACTGCTAACTACGCTACAAAAGAAGATGTCAGCTTATACGTTCCAGTCGTAGTGACAAAGTTTTCCTTCTTTTTTTTTCCTTGTACAATGTCCTTTACAGAACTTGCAGTCATGGTACTGCAAGATGTTAAATATACTGTATTGAAACGTCCTAAAGGAAAAGCTCAGAAGAAAGTCTCTTGAGGATTTAGAGGATCTTAATTGTATTCCTCCTCCTCATTTAGTTTGTTACTTTTACCGTATCAAGGATCGATTCAACTGACTTGGGACTCAGATGCGGTTCTAGGATTTTTATAACATGGGTGCACCACTAAAGAAAGGAGAAAAAAGAAAGTACTAAGTGAGAATTGATCATGCGAGCTTGCATATAGTATTAGATAAATTTTAGAAAACATGTATATAAAATACCTAGTTTGGGGGGGAGATCATGGGTTCGCATGCTCCATATATTATGCTATAAATCCGCCCCTAGTTGGACCGGTAAGATTATCACATGTTAAGTTATGCGGCATTAGACAATAAAGGTAGATAAGATCCCTGTTGATCAAAATGATAAAAGAATATGTTTAATTGTACTATGTAAAAATCATTTTAGTTTGTTGAATTTGGGACGACAAGAATGGTGAAGCATCAGCATCATTTTGCTGGTCACTCAAATTCTAACTTCTACAAGGAAAAAACGTGTGTGAACGAAAGTTTAAGAATTGGTCGAATGTTGTTGGATTTGGAGTTAAAGACGAGACTTTGTAGAAAACGACAGCCATAATTTGGCGAAAGCTTCAAGTGGATGTCTGTTGGTTTTGCTTCTCTTCTACTTCAGTTCAACTTTCACAGCTCAGAGAAAATTAATTGGGTGCTAATTAGTCGAGGTAAGAGGCCAACACGTTGTTACTCAATTGTTGCCTTTCGGGCAATGAAAAGTCAAATCACTATTTTCCTTTTCGATTATGCACTTATATTGTTGTTGTTGTGATAATGTAAATACCCAGGTCAAATAGTTTTGTGAGCCTTTACAAACGTATTTGTAGTTTTATAATTTTTTTTTACACGCGAGAGATTTACTTTTACGTGTAAATGATTTTTCTTTTACACATAAATAACACTTTCTTAATTTCAACATCGTACCATGAAGTCCCATTCCCTTGTAAATACCTTTTACTTTGAGAAACTTTTAGAAACCACTATGTTTTAGTGGTTATTAGCTAGTTGTAGCTACCATTTACTATATTACTTCCTATAGTTATGTTTTCAGATTTTTTAGAGTGTATTCGATGTATTTAAGCTACTGTATTCATGAAAGTGAATCAATTAACATAATAGACTCCTAATATAACTCAACAAACTCAATTATAACACACAAATTTTGTATTTCCAGTTATAAAAAAGATTCTCAACCGAAAAACACCCCAAAAACATAGCAATCTTCAGAGAAATTATATAATACATCTGAATACATAAATTATATTAATTAAAAAAAACATATGAATGCATTCATGGAATATTGCGAGACGGTGAATACAATGAAATACATAGAATACAGCGGGACACATTGAAATACAATGAAAAAGACAATGAAATACGTAGAATACAACGAGATTCATTGAAATATAATGAAAAAAAAAAGACAATAATACAATGAAATACAACGAGATATATTGAAATACATTGAAATATATTAACAGAAAATTCAAGTTGCTCAGCCCAACTCCGTCGTCTTTGTCTAAAAACAACTCTAATGTCATCTCGTTGAAGCAGCATCAGTATCCAGTCCCCGCTCGCCGTCACCGTTGCCTTCGGTTGTCGACGATTAGCACATAATTACCGGCGAAATAACAGAGGTTTTTATTGATCCGATATGTTGCGCCAGAAAATGAGATTGGGAGGCTGTGGGCGGCGGTATCAATGAATAAAGGCCGGCCAATCTAACTACACAACCATCAAAGTCCAGCGCTACTTTCTCTGCCTTGAGAAGTACATCAGTTCTAGGACTCCTCCCTATTGGAACTAGCTGGCCTTTTTGGTCGAAACGATGACGGTGGCAATTGCTCCAGCGTCCGCGGAGGAGAAGACATCGGGAAGTAGAGAGAGAGAGGGGAAATGGATATGGGGTAGATGATAGGAGAAATTTGAGAGGATATGAGAGAGAAAAATAATACAAAGCTTATTTTATGACTTAAGGATAGGAGATGATCATAAATAGATATTTGAATATAAAAAATCAAAAGGTAGCCATAGAATATAATTTTGCTATAGGAGGTAACTCGGTGTAATCAACATATTGTAGCAGCAGACGATTTTCTTTACTTTCCAATAATAAGTTTACTCATTATAAATAATTATATTTCAAATAATATGATAATATAGATATATTTCTTATTTTATATTGTATATTCATAAAAGTTACCCTCTGTTACTCGCATAGACAATTGGGTTTGAGATCTAGTAAAAGCCAAAGGAAAACAGGAGAGAGGACAATGTTAAAAAGGGAAATTTTTTCTTCCTATACCGTATAGGAATTATATTACCAAATATGTTCATAGTTTGCATATTACCCTTCATGCTAATAGTATTTTTATAAAATATAAACAATTCGTTAAATAAGGAATCGTTGTAGTTGTAGGCTTCCTTATTTAGGCACGCTAAAATTGCGGGATTAAATATTCTTCTAGATCTTCCACAACCTAAATCATGCACATTAATCTTCCTTGTCAGTTTCGTTTCAAATTTAGCGTCTCTGCTTTTTCGATACACTGTGTTTCAAACTTTTTTCTGATTTCACAAATCAAAAACGACTAAATCTTCTACATTTCTTCTACATCAAACGCAATTATGTCAATTTCAGTAATACAAAGCAAAGGAAAAGAGAGCAGCAATTCCACCATTGACAGCCATTAAAAAGCTTTGAAGCTTTGAATTCAAATTTGGGTTTTCAAAAATCATTATTTGTTTGGATTGAGTGTTGTTGCAAATAATTGAAATATGGTTTGGAGTTTATATCTCAATTTTGAGGGGTTTTGGTGAAGATTAGACTTGGTTTTGGCTGAATTTCGGACTGAAACTCGAAGAAGAAGAAGAAGACATGACATACATTATATTGCAGAAATTGTAGATAAATTGTAGAAAAATTGTATTCTGTTGTTTATTTATTTTTCTTTTATTCATTTAACTATTGTATGAAAGTTGAACAACATTGTATAAAAATTATATTTAAGTGGTATTATATTGTAGTTGTATATAACTTAGTAGAAATAATGTACGAAAATTGTAGATAATTTGTAGATAAGTTGTATAATATATAATTAGTTGTATGAAAATTATTTTTACTATGTATAAATCAGATACAAAATATACAAAAGACATATTGTATAAAATTTGTATGTAAGTTTTATGTTATTGTAGTTGTATTTCACTGGGTGGAAATAATGTGTGAAAGTTGTAGAAAATTGTAGATAAGTTGTATTCCTCTATAACGGCAGATGTTGGCATATCAAGTAACTTTAGTGTTCCAGACGAACATGCATGAAAATAAGATAAATTCTGTTATGAACAGTTTGTAGAAATTTTGTAGATAATTTGTAGAAACATTGAAATTTTGTATTTTCATATTAATTTTCAAATGATATGTAGTTTTGTTGTAGATTAAATGTAGAAAACAAGCCATTGTGAGTCTTATTTGACTCATTCCTCACATTCAACCTATTCTACAAATCCACGCCTCTTTAAATACAATACAACCATACTTTCTTGAATTTAAAGGTATAGTAATATATATAACTTAAAAAACATCTTCTCCTCTGCACAAGTTAGCTCCAAAACAGACGAAGTGGAATAACAAGCTCCCATCAAAACTTTTAACACAAAAGCACAAAGCATAAAAATAAATAAACAACAGTCTACAATTTTTCTACAATTNCTACAATTTATCTACAATTACTGCAGCATAATGTATGTCATATCGTCTTCTTCTTCTTCGAGTTTCAATCTGAAATTCAGCAAAAACCAAGTCTAATCTTCACCAAAACTCCTCAAAATTGAGATATAAACTCCAAACCATATTCTCAATTATTTACAACAACACCCAATCCAAATAAATAATGATTTTTGAAAATCCAAATTTGAATTCAAAGCTTCAAAGCTTTTTAATGGCTGTCAATGGTGGAATTGCTGCTCTCTTTTCCTTTTCTCTATTACTGAAATTTGGGATTGCGAGATAGAGAGAGACGTAGAGAGAATTCTCAATTCTTTGCAACAACATCCAATCCAAACAAACAATGTCTTTTGAAAACCCAAATTCGAATTCAAAGCTTCAAAACTTTTTAATGGTTGTCAATGGTGGAGGGGTTACAGATTTTCGCTGGTTTTAGAAGAGAAAATCGTGGGTGTTTGAAGAGGAAATCGTGGGGATTTGGAGAGAGAAACTTGGGGGAGTAGAAATATACGGTTGAATAAAATTAGGAGACTAATTAATACCATTAAAATCCTAAAATGGTACATAAATGGTAATTAGGTATATAGAAGGTAATTATATTAAAAGTTAAGCATGGAGGGTAATATAGTTTACTATATGGCATAGGAATGTAAAAATTCCATGTTAAAATCCGGAAAAGGGCCAAAACTGCCCCTAGACTATTCGCTTAAGTTTAAAAATACCATCCGTCCACCTATTTTGTAAAAATTGCCCTCACCGTTATAAATCTGGCCCATTCATGCCCCTAACGTCAACTTTTCGGCCCACTCATACCCTAAAAACTAACAGCCCTATTTTGATTAAGAAAAAAATTTATTATTTATTATGTGTTAATTTCCTATTGCCTTAAATAAAACCTCACCCCATATCCACTTATTAGCCTACTCCGTCTTAGATTTTCACCCTTCAACACCCACAGATCTCCCTTTCCATCTCAGATTTTTCGGCCTTAATTTAATTTTTAAATTAACATTTTTTATTAAATCAACTTTCTGAGTGAAATCAGGTACTCTTTGAAATTAATGCTTCATTGTAAGATTTTATGGTTTAATAAGTTATTTTTCTGCCAATAGTAATGATCATTGATCATTTGCAATATTTTTTGTTGTATATTTCCTGATAACTCTGCATCCAGTTTTGATTATTCCAATGATTTATTTGGTCTCTGCTCGGACCTCTATCTTTTTCTTCTTCATTGGCTCACCATAGTCTGAACATCCGACCATGTCCATATATTAAGCTATTGTACGAGGATGCTCTTCAGGTTATATCAACACCGCCAATTTAAAAAAGAG